TGGAAATACTAACATACGGTCCATCTTTATTTGTTATCATATATATTTTACAGCTACAGCCAGAACAACTAACACATCCACTGAGTCTCAGGAGGAAAAATCTGCAGCTATAAGGAACCAGTTTGTATACTTATACTGCAACATGGGAGCAAAACCAGTTGGGCATTAGCAAGGTCTGAGGAAGAAGCAAACTGTCAACAAATGTGATTTTGCTCTATAATCTATACATACACCAGATGATAACATTCAGTATCTGAAGGGAGCCTACAAGGATGCTGGAGAGGGACTCTTCGTTAGGGACTGTAGTGGTAGGACAAGGGGTAATGGGTTTAAACTTAAACAGGGGAACTTTAGGTTAGATATAAGGAAGAAGTTCTTCACAGTGAGCGTGGTGAGGCACTGGAATGGGTTGCCCAAGGAAGTTGTGAATGCTCCATCCCTGGCGGTGTTCAAGGCCAGGTTGGACAGAGCCTTGGGTGACAGTTTAGTGTGTGGTGCCCCTGCTCATGGCAGGGGGGTTGGAACTAGATGATCTTAAGGTCCTAACCTTAAGGACCCTAACTATTCTATGATTCTATGCAACCAAAATCTGACTAAAGGATAATTTCACAAAAACCTTATTCCATTATTATACCACTTAAATTTGCACATTAACAGCAGTACTCTATCAAACTGAAAAGCATGTTTGACAGGAGGTCCTGGGGAATCTGTGATGAATACACTTTTTGTGCTCTTGCGAAGGGTTCATTTTCACCAAAGCTCCTGACTGAGTCAAGCACAGCTTTTTTTAAATCAAAAGATAGCTTGATGGCCTGGTTTCACTTTATAAGGGGCATTTCTTGACAGATCATGACCTAAGTTGTTTTACCTGGTTTTGCATAATTCTCATGAAATAAAGTTGAATCCCACTTTGACTAGAATTTTATACAAGGAAAACAGTTAGCTCTGCAATAGACAAATCCTTGTGTAAAAGCATCAAGTCATAATACCTTTTATTGCCTAGAAGACAGCCAGGACAAACACCAGCTTGTTTTGAGGGTGCATTAAATAACATAGAGGCCTTAATCCCATTAATTAGCAAAAAGAAACAGCTTGCAATAAAACCAGTAATATCTGATCTAAAATATTTGTGCCCTATATTCTCTAGGTTCTGTCTATTAGGGAAAAAATTACAACCAAATTCATGTAAAATTCAGACCACTTATTTGAGTAACCCCAGAAAAGGGAATGAGATTGATCAAACAGTGGAGTGGTTTGTCCATACCCCAAGCACAGCTTCCGTGCATTTCCTACTCAATGGAATTGTTTCTCAGTAAGAAATGCAGTGCACTGAGGCCAGCGTACAGCTCTGTTGCCACTTTATTCTATACCTGCATTTTGTATTGCCTCAAGTATCTTTAAATAGCATCACTCAAAACCCCCTAAAATGCCTGTTCATTTTCTTGTCTCATTATGAGACGTGACCTCCAAAATCTGTCTAATGAAAATTTCTTTTAAAAGCTTAATTTTAAGATGTTCTTTGATTGCAATGAAATACATGTTTCTTGCTGATTAATACTTAACCTTCTCCCTAGCCAGACTTTGGTTAGATTTTGCATTTTGTGTAAAAAAAAATGCCAAAACCTCCAACAATCGAACAAACAAAACTCTGACACACAATGCCAAACCGTACTCTAAAGGCACAGAAGTCAGAATTCCCCAGTAGAATTAATTTTCTTTCAAGGATAACTTTTAAAATGAGGCAAAGCTCAATGATGAAACTGAAGCTTACAAAAGCCTGATTTCCAAACATTTCACTAAGCTTATGAAAATGTGAAGAGCTGCCAACTAGAACACTATCTTACTAACAGATAACATGATCTTAATAACAGGTGACATGCCAAGGTGTTAGGAGATCTGCAGCTTTACAGCCTTTAATTTGCCTCTAGCTATTTTGAATAAAAGAAGCCGGGAGGTTTAATATTATCAATTCCTACTACACATCTATTTTATAGTTTCAACTGGCCCCCCATCACCAGTCTGGACAAAGAGTATTTAAAACACTTGTCTACTAAAAAAATTGAGGTCATCTTGTGGGTGACCAGATTTACAATTACTTAATTTAAATGTATAGGTTCTGCTAAGAAGTGACTCTTCTATATGATAGTTTATATGCAAAACCAGTTATACACAGGCATTTCAGAAAGTTTAAGACAAATCAAATAACGTTATTCTACTTATTTAATATCATATTAATGATTTGAGATTTATGCATGCTAGCTCTTAAAGTAGGTGATTTGTCTGCAGCTTAATCTTTACTCCTAAAAACCAAAGTCTTCATATGGTTTTACCGTACTTTAAGCACACGAACTTCTCAATTTTCCATCTCAGTGTCTCCTATGGATCAAGAGCTTAAAACATCGTGCATTAAAAAAAGTAACAAAATGTCATGGCTAAAGTAGTATTTAGGTGCTATAGGTCAGAGCGATTTGTGTTGAAGACAAAAATGGTGGAATTTACAACCAGATAATACAACAGCCAGAAATATATTCAAATAAAGAAATGCAAAGTCTAACCACAAGGGGTTTTGAACAGGAACTTCTAACAGGAACTGTGAGGAAGTTAAAAATCCCCAAACAACTATTTTACAAAAAAGGATTAAGTTGACTGTTTTGCTTCTGCCATCCTGATACTATGGATGTTGTAGCCCTGAGTATTACTGTAAAGAGAACAGCACCAACTTACATACAAATGCCTGGTTCTTTGGAAAAAAAAACCAAACAACCCACCAAACAACAACAATAACAACAAAAAAAGATTAATAAATGATCCATTTTAAAAGCATAAAATAGATGTAGATGCCTGGCTGTACACTGGGGTACAGCTGTGCACAACAGTTTGTTGCAAAGCAGATCCAGGTACACAGTGTGTGGTTCAGAGGACCTGGCAACTCAATTGCTCACTCAAGAAGTTAGAAACCTGCATTTTAAAAATTATGGAGCCATTACCTCATTCTTCCCTTTTCTATTCTGAAGGAATTCCATAAATGAGAAAAAGCCAGATAAGATGGCAAACTCCAAGTCAAACAGCTCCATTTGTATTACAGCAACCGCACACTGCCCCAGAAGGCAAGAGAGGCAAGAGCTCTGTGTGTGGATGGCTACAGCAGCGAGTGCAGGATCCCCACTTTAAAAGATTGTATGAGGAGGTATGCAGGAACTAATGGATCAGAGGCAAATCACTGTCCAAGTAAGGTCTTGATCTGACTGTCTGCAGCATGAGGCTGATACTCTTTCCTAACAAATTCTAGAGGTTCTTGTCCTGAAACTTGTTATGTTATTGTACTTAGCATATATAAAAAGTGCTATTACTATTCAAAAATAACCTAGCACTGACGAAATGAACTACAAGTCTGCCTGTAACAGAGAAATCCCACAGGCTAACTCAGTCCACCGGACCTAACTGCTGCCAGGCTTTGAGATCAATTAGCCAGCATTATGAAAGGCAGGAGCTGCAAAAGCCATTAGGGAAAGGCAATTTCTACATGAAGAGTAGTGAATTAGGGATGACATTTCAGCTCTTGCATTTGCCAGTTTATGTCAAGAAGATAACGTTAATTACATTTGGATTTTGTTCTGTTTCACTGCAGTTGTGCTCTGTTCTGTGTTCAGTTTCATTGTTAATAGGAAGACAGACACTGGTGTTTTACAGATCTTTGATTTCCCTCTTGCCTATCCAGCAGGGATGTGAAAAAAAAAAACCACAAAGCCTTTTTGGATCTTAGACTACCAAATCTAAGACCGTTAACATAGGCTAACAGATTACAGTGCCTGACTGCTGGTGAGGGTGACGTGTGGCAAAGTGGAAGTTAAAGAGGCTCCATTTTTCCATTTCCTACAACAAGAAGAAAAAGGCCAGGCATTTAATAAAAGCATTTCATTTATGCCTTATTTTCAGCATGGGATAACATTTTAAAGCACTTTATCAAATAAGCCTAATCTGACTCTCTGTGACTAAGTATCTACACCTGTGTGAAGTCCATGTTAGCAGTAACTCCAAAGAAAATTGGTATTTAAATTCAGGGTTTCTACTTAAAGGGCCTGAGCCGCAGATCCTGAAGGGAAAAAAAAGTTATTTGCTTTTGTGTGCACTGAATCCGTCCCTTGGTTAACAGGAGTTAAACTAAATCTTGATTTCCTGAACTGTTAGTTCTGTCTACGTTTATGGCTTCACATAAGAGAACAGAGCAGTGCAGCCAGCCCTGTCAGCTGCCTCCTCCTTCAGCCCACTTCATTCCATAGATTGCCTCACTGTGTTTTCAGAAACTTGTTCAAGATGCCCACTATGCAGAAAGCTTCCTGCAACCCATTTCGGTCAGATCTGTAGTGTGCTGCAGCATGACTGGAAACTGGGAATTATTACTTTTTTACCCTATTAAAAATCCAGTTGATGTGATTTGAAGTAAATAAAGTACCACCAATATGATATACCTGGACATAAAATGAATACTTTTTTTATAAGATAAGAAACTGCCATCCAGGAGTGGATGCAAGCATAAGGATACCTATTTTGGAATTACATTAAGCATGTTTCTAGGACTTATCCTTTGGAGAAGTTAATTTATACAAGACCTTCCCCTTCTCTCCCCCCACCCCCCCATTGTCACCAAAGACATCAAGGAGAGCTCTTATCTACAAAGCACTCAATAGAAAGATTCTACTAAAAGCTCCCATTGTCAAGCTGATCACAGTCTTTTTATCCTGCTTCCTAGTCCAGACATGGAGGATTTGACTCCTTTCCCTGTATACAGAGAAGGGAATTAAACTGAGTACATTCAACAACCCTGCTTTAGAATACTATTACAACTGCTGGAAGGAACAGTAGAATATGTGCATGCAGGCTACAAGTGAAGTTTTCATTTATTTTTGGAAAAAACACGCCCCAAAACAAACAAGACCCAAAGCCACAAACATATGAACTTTACTCCTTTCCTGCCCCTAATGCAAACTAAGATATCTTACCTGGTAGGCATCCAGCTGTTCATCAGTAAATATCGTTTGCTTATTACCCATCTTAGATGAGGAGTTCTTCCTCTGTGCAAATGCATCCCATTAGAAGTAGCTGGATTCCTCTGTATTGTGGGCATTTAGAGCATGTATACTCTGTGAGCGTGATGAAAAAAATCCCAAAGCCTGCATTGAACTGGTTTTGGTTGTACCTATTCAATGAGGAAGGATGCAGGATCAGGAAATCTTTGTAAAGGCTTGACTGGAGTGTGCCAGGAAGGAAAGCGTTAAAATCACAGGCAGGTGTCACCCAAAAGCAGCGATGCCATTCTCCATTCTCCCCCCTTTCTCAGGTGCTTTTATAAGAGGCATACAGAGTTTTTAAACCATCAACCCCGAGGAGCCAGGACTAGAAGAAACCAGCTCTCTATTGCCTCAGTTCTCACTCCCTTGTTCACTTCAGGGCTCTCCTGCTCGGCACCTTCACGTTTCAGAGCAGCTTTGCGTCACCCGATGCCCTCGGCAGCGCAGTCGTATTACATGCACGCAGAACAAACCTAGTAACTAGCAAAATGGATTAGCAGAGCAAAGGTTTCTGCAGCTGTTCTCCCCCCAGATAAAAGCACATCCTTGTCAGTGCTTGGATCTGACCTGCACGCAGCTGCTGATGTTAAACACAGCTGGAAGGAGGCTCAAAGCATCCAGAGCATCCCTGTAACATGCCGCGGGGGCTCCACGCTAAATGCTTGTCTACACTGTGGCTGTAACAAGCCCTATCAAGGATGTGAGCTCACTACCAGAGGTACCAAACTCCCAGGTATACCACTGAATGCAAGTATTCCTTCTCACGTTAAATAAAATAAATCGGGAAGATTAAAGTACTTTAAAGGGACACTAATCTGACTCCTTAGGTTCAAGCAAGCAGAGCTGGAAAGAAAAAGCTGTGAACACAGCCTAAAGCAAAGGTAAAAGGTACCGCTAGAGGGCACAGTGTATTTCAACTATTACAACCCTGTTTCCAGATTTCTAGGAAAAATTTAAAAATAAAAGAAATAAAAGAGCATGTAAGAGATACAGACAGACTCAATGAAAAATTATCTAACATCTGCAGAAGGATAAGCTCTCATTAGAACCGTAGAAAGAAGGCTGAGCGAGAAAGAATGGGAACAGGGAGGAAAGATGTGTTAGAGACAGTTTCCTTGGACTGCTCACTTCTCGTTTGTGCACATTGGAATGGGAGACGATGAAACTCTTCCTGGTTCCTTACAGCTCTGTCAATGGCCACTATTCCCGCAGCAAGTTAGCATCTCTAATAAAAATACCTGGAGAATTACCTTGTGCTTTTTCCTACAGCTTCTAGTGGTTCTGACCAACAACATGACCAACAGCAATTCAATTTGCCTTCACATATAAGAACACAGAACAAACATTCAACCACAATACTGAAAGTAAATATATTGTATACAAGCTGAAAAATATCCTATGAAGTGTTGGATATGTAGTAAAAACCTCCCGTGAAGTGCTGAACTGCAGACTGCTCTAAGAGCCAACCTCTTTAGATTGTAACATTCAGAAATGCAGATTTGATTAGATGCAAACCAGCAGTGCCCTGAGCAACAAAACCACAAGGTATTACCATAGACACAGAATAGAGGGCTTGGGATGAGAATATATTCACCAAAGCTAATTAGCAATCAGCAGACATCTGTAGAATATACTGCAACACAATTTCAGAATAAGGAAGAAGCTGCGGTGTAAGGACAACACAAATTCTGAAAGAGTGAAGCAAGCATCTATTCAAATATGAGACAATTGAATCAACTGTTTGTTGCATGGCCAAAAGGACCTCTGTTTTTCTAGCCATTAGTGTTGTGGGGTTTTCCCCAAGGTACTGTGGCCTTGGATTCTTGATGTTTTCCAGAGGATTCTCCACAAGACAGAATGTAAAGAAAAAAAAAAACAAAAAAACAAATCTGCAAAATACAGTATTTCTGTTAAGGAATAAAAAAAAATTTTGAGATTAAGAGCTTTTGCAGTTCTGAAAGTTCATACATGTCCTCAACTTCGAATGAGCTTCATCACTGACTTTTGTGGTTACTGATCTAATGAAGCATGTTTCCTATTTATGATCTGGTGGTACTGAAATGCAAGAGCTAGCAGCTGTTCTCAGTCAGACCAGACCAATACTTAGCCAAGTGATCTGATGAAATAGCACTCCCCTCACAGACACCTAATTCAAGCTGCCTGACTGTGCAAATCAGATTAAATATAAATGGCCAAATTATCTTTAATGCCATTATACAGAAGTGAATTGACACCAGGAGTGCATTGGGCTCCATATCTTTGAATCAGGAAAACTGGTATGGCTAAAAGAGCTGATTGCTTTAAAAGAGTTAGAAGTTCTTGCTTTAAAAGAAAGACTCAGGTTATCAAAGGAACTGCACCCACTAGGTAGATGCACAGAAAATAAAGTGTTTCTTAAATTCTTCTTTCCATACTCTGGAGAATATCCTTCATTAGTAAATTAAAGGGTATAGATTTTTAATAAGAGGATTAAAATCCTGATTGTTGAGGGTTTCACTATATTAGCTAGCTCTTCTCAAGCATGTTATAATGGTAACTATATTTCACTGGATAATTATCTTACTAAAATACCCAGGTAAAATTTAAAGACAGAATAATGCATAAACTCTTTTTCACTCCTATCTGTTTGTATGTACCAAAGATCAAATAATCTTTCAGTTTGCTCTTTTTCACTCCTTTTATCTGTTCGTATTTATCAAAGATTAGTTTTATTTTCCATTTGGGTGTTAAGCAATACATTATTTACTCCCAGTGTAAGCTACTGCAGCAAATCAATACTTTTCTATGTGCACAGCAAGACCAGACCTTAATGCTGTCAGCACCAGCCTTCCATCACACTTGGCTGTATTTCAGTTTCTCTAAACTGTTTGCCAAAGCAAGTGATTTTAAACTATTAGCAACACATAGCACAGGGCATCTTGCAATCAGTGGCAAAGTTTACTAAGGAGGACAGTATACATCCAGTAGTCTCGTGGTTACCCTGTCCATTATACCAGAGAACATGGTGAAGTAGTCACTGTTCATCTGCTCTAAAAGTTTAATTCATGGAGCAGAAAATCTGCTATCAACCACATACACTAGATTTAATATTTTATAGCAAGATGTGGATCAGCTGCAATGGCTCAACACCCACCTAAGGCTGCACACTGAACTCGCTTCCATAGCCACAGCTCAGGGAGTGGGACAAATCATGCCAGCACTCCTGAGCACCCTCAGTGCAGTGTCCTGTTCTGAACTGTTGCTAGCCATGGCACCAGGTGACTTTGATTTATTGGTAGAGGCGTAAGTTCAATAACCTCCAACAGACAGGTCATGCTACCTTAAATTGCCTGTGAATTATGCAGTAAGAATTTGACTGTGCTTTAAGTATGGAAGCTCTGATTCCTTATACAAGGAGGATGAAGCTACTATGAACAGAGGTCACTTTACCTGTTAGCAAGAGGATCTACACAGAGTTTTAACAATCAAGTTGCATATCTACTGCCTTCACTGCTCAAGTTGGTTTGCTGCAACTTTTAAGTGGGGAAAAAAGAACTTGCAAGATTTCATGCCCGTTACACCAAGAATTCCAATTTCTCTCCCCCAGAGATGTTTCTTGGGAGGTTAGCTCTACATAAAGATTCACTCTGTTAGCAAAAAGAATAATTTTGACCTAGAAGGGCTGCCTGCACATTTATTCTGTTGCTACTTTCTAGGAGTCTTTAGGGCCCCCTTCTACTGCAAGCATAAGTAACAGTGATCACTACTCGCAATGATTACAAAGGAGAGGCTCTATCCTCCACTGATGCTGTGGAAATTCCTCCTGCGTCTTTGGGGCTTGTTTTATTTACTTGAATGCTAGTCACAATTCTGTTTGCCCACAGATAAATGAGAAGTAATAATGTTCACCTACAATAGGTGCTGTTAAAGTAATTAAAATACTCATGAGTTCCTTAAATAAAGATGCTACAGAGCTTAATAACATAACCATTGTAATATGCTACACCAACTATCACAATTTGCCTCTTATTTAATAGTTATTGCAAACTATAAATACAAAATTAACCGTGAATACATGGTTACAAAATACAAATCCTAAAATAAGTGAAAAAGACGGTCTGATGCTACTACAGTACATAGGAAAGATGATTTTCCAGCACACAGCTAACAGGAGAATGCTTAGACCCCACTAGACTTGTCTGAAGTGCTGGGCTATAAGAGAATGTTTCATAGGACCAAGCTCTGTCTTATGAATGAATAAACAGAGCTGGAGAAAGATGCAAAACTTGTAGCCCTCAAGCACATGAAAGATGCTGACTGTCTGCCTAAACCGCATTTGTTATTACGAGCCAGACCTTTTTGTAGAGTTTTTAATGCTAAAGCAAACAAACAGAAATTGTGCTAGATTTGTTGCATTTATGATGTTATTCCTCTAGCTTAATAAAATACAGTATCTTAGAAGATGGAGGTTTCTGACTGCATTTCATTAAGCCTAATTTCAAGTAAAAACTTTTTAAAGATGTTTTATAAAAAATAATGCTTTGCATCAGGGACAAAATAATTAAATAAAATGGTTTCCTATGCAGACTGAATTTAATATCATTTATTTCCTCATATGGAGTCTCAATTCAGTGATCACCAGGGGAAAGAAACTGCTGCTGCCTCTATACAGGCATCTGTTTCCGAGCAAAATAACTACTGCATTGTTCAGCCCTTCTCTGAACAGATCCAAACTAGCTGCTGCTAATGATGTATTATCATAGTATTATTATGGTAGCACCTGTAAGACACAGATGAGAAACCTGCTGCAGCAGCTGTTTATGTATGTAAAAAAGGATTTCTCCCCTCCCCTCAATTTACAATCAAAATGTAAATCCAGAAAGTGCATGCAGATACAGACAGAAAACAGAACAGGAATGCACTGGTCAGATTAGCATAGCACACAGTCAACTTAACATTCATGGAGTCCTTTGGTAAGGATCATGGCTAAAGAAACAACAAAT